CAAAGACGTCACGCACACCATGTCACCTCCAAATGCAGCCTCACCTGCTTCTCTCCCACATGTTCCTCCAAGCTTCACGTCCTTAACACTGATTATTTTTAGAGTCCCTATGCCGTCTGCAGGGTCCTGGCTGATTCATTTGCCTCATTGCATTTGCCCTACTGGTTTATTTATCCGTGTATTTTCTTATATGAATATATATATATATACACATCCATGTATTTAGTCCCCTTCTTGTTCCCAAATGGATATAAGGTGGCTTACAAGAATACACAAAATACAGTATGATAGCATAAATCCAAAGTAAGTAAGAAAAGGAAAAGGAAAAAAAAAAAAACAGTAACAAAGACAGAAACATAAAATGGAGCCTGGAAGAAAGCCAATACAAAGTGCATACATACCGCAGGGTCCCATTTCAAGCGCTCTGCATGGGCCACACATTGGGCTCCAAGCTTTGTGGCAGCCGAGCCACCTGATCGGTCTCACCTTTCACAGGGACCATCAAATCAAATCAAATCACTTGTTCAGGATGTCCTTTTTCCTGCTCTACATTCTGAAAACTTTTCTATAGTAAAGTATCACCAAATGGTGGCAAAAGGTCTCTCCTAATTCGCTCTAACGCCAAGATCCAGCTCCTGGAACAGTCTCCAACAAAGACAGATCCTCAATCTGGAGATTACATTCACTGCTTCTTATTTTGTTTCTGCCTTGTCTCTTGAAGCTCCATTTGGTCAATGACATGTAGCTATTAAAAAGACTTCTTAAATGAGCAAAAACCTCTGCTTTCATTTAACTCAAGAGATAGACAATGTGACGTTATTTATAACAAAAGTTTGGAAAGGACCCCAAATAGCCAACAAAATATCCTGGTCAAATAAACCATGATGCTACTATATGGTGAAATATTACACACCATCAAAAATGGTATTTATGAAAACTAATTAAAAGGGTAGGAAAATATTCGTGATAAAACTTTTAAGTACATGTTAAGTAAAAAATGAAGATATAAAAGAGCATTATTAGGATTTTAACTATGTAAAAAACTGTGCATAAAGATATATATATATAACGCCACAAAAAAGTCTGGAAAGAAATCCACTAGAATGTTAATATCGTTTCTGGCATTTGTGAATATAGGCAACTTTTATCTTTTCTGTTTGTCTTTAATTTCCATTTTTTTAATATATATTGATAAACAAGTTCTATATGAAATGAAGGAGGAGGACTAGGAAGAAAACCACCAACCCAGTTGGTTATTTTTAGCTTGTAAAATTATGGGCAATTTTCATTTTCTTTGAAGTTTTCTATAATCAGCGTGTAAGTTCTAGCTAGACACAAAAGTACTTTAATTAAAAAAAAAAAGAAACACAGAGTTCTAAAAATATGATTGTTTGGTTGTTTTGTTTATAACGTCCAGAATGATACAAATGTAATACCACCTCACTATTATGTAGCCCATTTTAATTTTAACACCTCTCTAATACTTAGAATTGCATTTGGCTACCAGAAGATATCTTGTGAGGTAGCCCGGGTATCACTCCCTGCACTTAACTGGTGCTGAAACTCGGGGACTAGCCCAAAGTCACAATAATCAATGGCAGAGCTGAACTCCAACCCAGGTTCTTCAGAGCCCAAATCCAGTGCTCTTCCCATTCATTCAAGACTGATTGTGCTATAACCCAAGCAGTCACCAAGAGGCAGAAACATGGAAACAGCGACCCCTCCTTACCCATGAGGGTCAAGTTCCCGAGCAACCCCCAAGGTAGTAGAGTTCAGCTGAAGAAAGTATGATTTTAGGAGGTTTCCAAAAAAAGAGGGGGGAGGGGAAGTGAGGTCACATGCAAACTTTTGAAAGCCCTCATGGGTAATTTTTTGCACAGTGAAGCAAAACAATAACAACAGCACATTACATAAAGAGAATGAGAGTTTACATAGCTTAAATTCATAAAAATGATAGGTTCTACAGCGTTTCCATGTAGATCCTAAGATGATTTCCAGAGGTGATGAGTATGTCACACTCATTATGGCAGGGGGACAATGGGGGTGACAGTGAAGTGATGAACAGGGGTGAACTGTTAGCTCAAATCGTGGATCTTCATATTCTCCCAAGTCATCGGAATCCAATCCTGAGATTGGAACAACTTGCTTGTGCCTTTCGCCCTATCAAAGCAAGTGGTTTTAGTGGCAAAAACTTCATGACTGGCTCTTCTGAAGATACTGTCTCCTCAAGTCTTTCCTGAAGATACTTTAGCACTTCTGTACAGAGTTCAAATTGAATCGCTCAAGCTTTCTCTGAAGGTGGCATACCAAGTGTCTACTGTGGGTACTTAAATGGCACTACTTGAAGATTTAGGCTCTTCTGAGGGTGCTTTCTTCCTAATACGGTAATGTAAAAAGACTCTTAGCACCTCTTTATAGAGAGTTCAATGAAATCCTTCACACTTGGTCTGAAGGCAGCTTATCAGCTGTCCAGCGATATTGAATGGTCCTCCTTGACAACTCAAGTTCTGCGGAAGACGCTTTCTCTCCAATGTGATATCTTTTTTTTTTTTAATTCATTCGAGACACAGAGATACAAAGAGAGAGAGAGAGAATGAGCAGGGGGAGAAGCAGAAGGAGGGGGAGAAGCAGACTCCCCGCTGAGCAGGGAGCCCGACATGGGGCTCGATTCCAGAACCCTGGGATCATGACCTGAGCCAAAGGCAGATGCTTAACCATCTGAGCCACCCGGGGGCCCTCCAATGTGATATCTTGAAGGCATCACAGCACCTCTTTACAGAGTTCTTCTAAACCACTCAAGCTTTGAACAGGTTAAGATTTGACATGTAAATGTCTCAATTTGCATTATTTTCTTGGGGGAGGTTTTAATCGTGTTCTAAAGGCTCTGCACCTGTTGCTTCTAACTATATTTGTCTCCAGTCCCATAGCTTCCTAAGTGTCTTTGTCATAACTTATGATAATCACCCCTAGGGTACTGGAAGCTTCCTGAGAGTCATCCTCTAGCAGCATCAACAGGTTCAGTTTCAACTTCAGCCAATGTGTGCTCTTGTACCAAATGTCCCTCCTCATTTATAGGTTCTTCTTGATCCAAAGATTCTCTGTCTTTAGAACAGATCATTGAAGGGTATGTCACCATCTCTAGCCAGATTTTTTTGCCAGCTTGCATTACTGACAGGTCTGTTAAACTAGCTAATGCTTCTTTTATTAAGAAGACAACATTAAACTGATAAGAACAGATACTACACTTGATAGTGTCAGAACCCCATGCATTAGGATCTTCAGACAGAGGAGCCTTTGAGACTCTGAACAACAAAGGTATGCATTAGTTTGGCATAAGTCCTCTTGAATGGCTGGATCATGCAATGATCTAAGGGCTCAAGGATCTGTTAAGGTTGTCTTTATAAGGACTGGGAAGAATCAGCAGGACTTTGAATTCAAGATTTTTTTTTTTTTTCATCCTGAACTTCCACGAGAAATCACTGCTTAAACCCTTCCTTAAGGAGAGGAGTTATCCAGACTTTTCTGTTTATGTGCCAATACACCAGAAACTTGGCTTGGCTTTTTGTTTCCCCTGAGAAGATTTGGGCAAAGTTTGGTGTCAGGCAGCAACGGTTTCGCAATGAGGTCACCCCAGGTGTTGGCACAAAACAGAAATGTCGGCCTCTCTGTTTTTGCTGAACTCGGGTCGGCATTGGTTGGCTCTTTTTCTTCAAAAGGGCAAGTAGGATTATTCAAAGGTTTCCAAAGCATGGTGGTCTCAACAGCAGCGAAGATTCGGGCAGCCACATAATCTCCTGCTTCAGTTGCTTCCTGCACTTGGGGCAGATACAACACAGTGGTTCTTTCTTCTGCACCACGCTCACCGAGGACTTGGTCTCCCGGGCATGGTGCACCAGAAAGTTCTCAAAGCATCCCTTGCTCTCGGCAGGATTTTTTTTTCTGGGACCCACTTCGGTGTCTGAAAACACATCTTTGGCCATCCCTCGTGCGCATTCGCAGACCCTTGCGTGGAAAGTGCTTTGCTGTTCTTTTGCTTGTCTTCACATGCAAGGGTTTAACATTTCCATCATTTCCATCCGGGTCACCAGGGATAAAGCACCTCTTAGGTGACAGAGGCGTACCAAGAGGCAATCCTGGTCCTAATAAGTGTTGGCTTTCCTTATGGTACGAATTGTGGGACTCATTCCCACCATGTAAGTGACCTGCAAAGCTACTTGTTTTACCTCGAAGGAGCGGATGGTGAACGTCTCCTTTCTAAAGACACCCCCTTTCTTGCCTTTTTGGCAGCTTGCTCTGGTCTTGCTTCACTCTCTTCCGCCTCAATAGTCACATTTATAGAAGCCATGTTTAAGTTTACGCTAATTAATGCAACCTGACCCCTATTTACTAGAGATTCTCTAGCCCCTCAGTATCACAAAATGGTTTTATGAATAACACATGGATAAATGTTAATATATTGTTGGGATGCTCAGTGCAAATGGGGCTGATGGTGGAGGAATGAGAGAGAGAACAAAGGACTCAGAAGGGTCTCCCCACCTCGTGATAAAGCCAGAGAGACAATCACGTGACGACTTGGACTGACTCCCGTATACGCAATTCAGAATTTTCACCATTGTCAGAAAGGTATACAGAAGTAAATCCACCTATACTCAAATCTCCAATAAGGTCAACTTACAGTTAGAAAGGGATTACTGTAAATTCCCCTCTAAGTTATGGGAAAGAAAGTCACTATTCATATATTTAAGACAGTGCTGTTGCTATGACTTCCCTTGGTCGAACACCATGAAAGGGCAAACACGGCCTAAGTGAATTTTCTGTAAACCCGCGGTTAAGGCAATCACACATTATCCTCTGACAAAACGCAACCTCTGAAGATGTACACGGAAAGGTCAGGCAGGCCCCGCACAGCCAATGCTCCAGAAATGACTACCCAAGAAAGAAAGTGACAATGAAAGAAAGAAAACTAGCCCCTTTTCAATGCCCGGCCACTGATACTTTACTTTTATCCCCTCCTCCTGGGAAGATAGAGCGAAGCCTGGCTTTCTTATTCTTCTCTTCAGGGGCCATGGGAAGTGGTTTGGAACTGTGGTTGAGTGCTGAAGAATCTCGGTTGTTACTGTTCATTCTCAGCGGTGGGGCTGGGGGTTTCTCTTCATTATCCAGACTGTCAGACATTTTCAGGGACAACTGATTGCACAGCTCCTACAGAACAGGAGGAGAAAACAGGAATTGAGAAAGAAACGGCCTTAAAAACAAAAAAACAAAAAAAACAAAAACCAATCCGGTAAAATGGGGATTCTGCTGTCTTAGACACAAAAGCGTTGGTCTCGCGTGGTCTCAGGTTTTGTGATGACCTTTTACGGAGGTTTCTTTTCTAGAGGGGAGGGACCTGTCTCCCTAAAGACCAATGACGCCATTTCCCAAAGAGGAAAATGAAGGCAATAATTAATGGCTTTTCAATACATAGACACAAACACAGAAAGTCCCTTTCTATTTTCTGCTGTCCGCTCACAACCTTCTAATGAACAATTTACAGCCTTCTTTAAAAACTCTACCCTGATTTTTGGTGATGCTCGGGAAGCACAACCTCCTCAAAGTCTGGGGTTGACACGGGGTTTGGCTGTTGATTTTTAATGGCCCCAAACAAGGACTTGTTAGCTGCTTTGACACTGAGGTGCCACTGGCGTCGGATTCTTACCTGTGTGTACCTGACGTACAAAACACACTCTACTGTCTTATGAGAAAGAACTGGGGCATAATCTAGTAGGCCTGACAGTTGCAGCAGACTCCGGATGTAGCGACAGGGAAACAATGCCCCATTTTCAGGTAGTGGGTAGAATATAAAGCTGAGCCAGACGTCCCCACGAGCAAAGAGGAGCTAGCTCCAAGGAGAGGACCAGTTCCTGAGGAGACATCATACCCTTCCTCCTTGTCATGTTTTATGCCCTGAACAGGGGAATGAGGGAGATGGCCTGGGTAACAGGGTTGAAAGAACCAGTCAGGGTTTTAGCAACTTACCTGCTCTTAAATTCATTACTCGTTAGTATCTTCTGCTTAGGGCCGAATACGTTCAGGTTTCATCCCACTGGAAGGTAAAGTGACCTGGAAAAGCATGGACTCCCCGAGGAAATGTTCCCGCTTCCAACTGTTTTCCTATTCTAATTCAAGTCCCTCCACTAGGACCCCAATGGAGGCTTGTGGTCTCAAGAGTATCTTCCAAGTGAATCTCCAGTTTGAACACAAGGCAAATGAAATCTCAGTGCAACAGAATCTATGTAAATTCATCAAGTATTAACTGGCGCTAATTTAGGAGCATAAGAGCTCTTCAAAAACGACTTAGCAGATCACTTTATTCCAACAACATTTACTATAAACAAACTTAAGTACAGCAATAACCAGGGTCTCCTCGTTACCTGCTGTAATGAGAAATAATCTGTCATAATTATTTTTATCTCTTTAGTGGTTACAATGTGTTTACTATTCGCAGTAATGAACTCTTACATCATGTGATGTGGAAGACTTTCAAAATTTTACTATGTCCCAAATTTTCTCCAATTTAAGTATTCAAGAATAGGTGAGTACCAATTAATAGTTTCTCCATCTGCACAGGTGACTGCCAACTAACAATGACCGGCTTGATCTTAATCTGGGCAAGAGATCTCTTTTCTTTTGGGGGCATGGGGATGAAAAGCAAGGCAATGATGTTCTTTGGAACAATATCCAATACTTCCCTTATGTATGGACGTATGATTATTGGCCCTGATTTCTCATCTAGTAAGATAACAGCAGTCAGAGAGTCTTGCCCTCCTGTGAACTGTTGCAGTCCCTCCTTTTTTTAGCACCCTTTGTTTTGCAATACACATACCCTGACTTGTTTTGTAGTTGCATTTTTATCTGTATATTTAATAAACATTTTATATATATATATATGACGTGCAGCCAGAGATGAAACCCACTGCTCAAGCCTATAATCTCACTTCCAGTGCCTAGCACGGCACCTGACACAGAAGCTTAAATCATTATTTGTTGTTTGAGTACGTATGAATGGAGACACAGATGGGTTACTTAAGAGACATATTCTTAGAGTTACTATTGGACCCCTTAAAGGACAGTAATCATGCTAGGGGAAACACTCAGTAATAAAAGTTTGGTCACCAATGACAACTTGATTAACCTCGCATTTTCCTATTTAGGTGAAACCCAGCACAAGATAAAGTGAAAAACTGTGATTTTAAGGATAGAGTATACTCACAGATACCACTGGTACTAGTAAATGTTTGAGTAATCTAAGAAGCCAGTGTTAATGGATCTGCATTCCCTTTTGCATTTTAAATTTGGTCCTTCTAAATTCATTGTTTCTCCAGAAGAAAAGTGAGTTTAACACCGACTTCACCAGCAGCATTATTCTGTAGTGGATGGGTTCATGGTTTTCATTTAGTCACTGAGAAGAATTTGCCACAGAAAGCACTAATTTTTTTGTGTGTTTTTTTTGTTTGTCTTACTTTTGGGGGTTTAAAAATAATGCTTGAGTATGGGGTGATTATTACATAAAGCTCAGATACACAAAATATAGCTTGGTAAAAATAATGAAATTTGAAAACCATTGCAAAAAAAAAAAAAAACCAAACAAACCACCTGAGGATTTAAATAGAAATACCTAGAAGCTAGGTTTCTGAAAAATGTATCTCACGGGGGGGG